TAATAAACAAGAAGGTTAACCAGTCAAAAAGAATTGGCACGTGCTATTATGACAATTGTTACTCTCACATAATTCTTGTTTTTTCACGACTTTCGTTTGCATGTATCATTTTATTTATTGACAGGTGGATATCCTGACTTTATATGTCTATGCAAAAAATTGTGGAGTGCGCAAGCTCGTAACAAAATCCTTTTTTTATATCCATACTTATTTCGGTGTGAAAAAAGCTAAAGCGATTTACAGGAACGCCAAATGCATTTTGCACGATACATCTAGCCCTGCTAAGGCTGAGTATTTCTTGCAAACATGATATACACTATAAAGAATGTTGACTTTTGAATATTTAAAAGACGCATCTTTTAGGGCCACAAATATCCTCTTCATTGTAACTAGAAAGGATGACAGAAAACCAAAGAAACATTAGAAATACTGAAAGGATATCGAACTTCCATTGTCTTTATTTTTAACTTACACAATGTTTCGGACAGTTGTATCACTACCCGTTATCAAGTGTAAACTGCCAAACATTTATTAACGTTTAGGAAGATCTGATGAGTATCACTTTAAGAGGCATTTTGGACCGTGGTCAGCCAAATTTTAAATAGCTGAATGATAATTTGTTCATTTATGCTAGTTTTATCAAGACCAAAAATGAAAAAAGAATAAACGAAGCCGCAGAGGTATTGTCAATCTGGCACCTATCAGAGAACTGTTGTGAGAGTGTTAAAAACAAACAAATCCCACCCATATAAGTAGTCAGTAACTTAAACGGTACATCCTGACATCGTGACTTTTGTAGGCGGTTTCCATTGCCATATTTCATGGACAGAAAAAATAATATTTACCAATCGTAGCATGCTTAATAGCTATAATGAACATTTATAGTTGCAAGAAAGCCCAACAAATCAAGATTAGGTTTATTGTTTGGTGTGGTGTTGTGAGCTCAACATTTCTTGAACCATTTATTTTCGGTGGTAGTTTAACATTCGTCCGTCATATTTACTTTCTTTAAAATGAGTTTGAAGATATGCTGTACAATTTAAATTTACATACTCGTCAAAATTTTCAGTGGCATCTACATTATGGCGTCCCACTCCGTAAATTTCAACTAGATAGCAATTACCTCAATAAAATATCTCCCAAGTGTTGGATTAAAATAAACGCTGTTTTATGGCCACTACGAGCCCTTGATTTTTCGGTTTTAGACTTTTTCTGTGGGGAGCTATAAAAGGTAAAATTTACAAAAAAACCTCTGTTTCAAAAAATGAACTTTCAGCTGTTGTAAATGAGGCTTTTAATAATATTGATTGGCGATCTGTAAGAATGACAACTAATTCAAAAGATGCAGTGTATGCATTCGTTATAATTTTCGAAAACCTTTTGTAAACACAAAATAATTAATTATGCTAGCATAATAGTAATAATCTATATTTAACAATACAATAAAGTTTGTAATAAAATTATTAATTTAATAAATATAAAATCTTATGTTTCCATTAAAAAAATTTTTTGCATGTCAAAAATGACAAGCGCGCAAAAAAATATCTCCATTTATTGTAAATAAAATTTCATAAATCTTTTGTTTTTTTTATTTTCTGCTACAATTAATATTTACGCAGCTAGGAGCAATTTTTTGAAAAACTAAAAACTTTTTTGAGTAGAGCTACAAAATCGCAATTTTGCTATTCTTATTTATACTTTACAGAGTGTTTTGTCGAATACTTGCATATTTTTTATTTAATTTTCAACTTTTGGAGAATATCGTCAGCACATACTGAATTTATCGTACAGAACAGTGCCATATCAAAGTCACGAGCGTCTCGCCGGGGCCGCGATGCGCAATAAACCGTTTTACTACCATAACCTCGATATTCCGATTTTACGAGAGCCGCCAAAGTGTATTTTTTTAAACGTTTTTCGAGTCTTTCTTTTTGCGGGATTGAGGTTACGACCAATCAAGCCAAATCCCGACCTCCGTTCCATCTTCCGCGAAATGTATATATACGGTTAATTTCAAGTTGTTATTTTATTCCGATCGTAAAAGGTTTGATGGTAATGCCGGTATAGCTTTTACGGCAATAGTGTGGTTTATTTTATTATACAAGTAGGGGTTAATCCGGTCAAATTAGACATAAAAATATTACTTAATGAACTAACAAATAGCTCCAACAGAGCTGGATTTTTGTGGACACCTTGAGTATACCGATAGGAATAACCTACCGATCCCATGTTTGCAAAAAACGTTATTCAATGTCAAGGTAAATTGGAAACCATAACATTGCCTATAAATGATCCTTATATTTTTTGTTCTAGGAGTCACCATCTATAAAACATCTTTATTCTGAAAGTCGAGGGAGTCACATTCAACATCATATCACTCATCACTCATCACTCATCACTTAATATAAGTAAAAATGCCTATTTGTATCTCATATACCTATGAACTATATAATTCTCAGAATAAACTTAATAAAGACGGGAAATGTCTTAGTCTTGATCGATATCTATCCCATTCCGCTTGACAACGCTCATACACTTGCTTTTTTAAAATAATAAACCTCACTGGGTATAGAAATCCTGAATTTTTAAGCACGAAAGGTTAGCAAACCTTCTTTAAAAAATCCCTCTTCTCTTCCAAAATGGCTCTCTTGGCATCTCCTGAAAGCACCTTACCTACCATAAAAGCTTGGCAAGCACTGGTTATCTTTTTTTTCTTGCCAAATAAAAGATTTGCTTTTGCTCTTTTTGGTACTGATTTATGCTTGCCAAGTGTTTTCGTTGCCAGCACACAAATTCATCGCCTTTTAATAATGTGACTGTTAAAATCGACTTTGAAAAATACAAGTCGGAATGAAGTAATTATAGAAATCGGAGCTACAGTTGTCATAATCAATAATTTATATCAATATAAATAATCATCATACAGTAAATTTGGTGTTCCTATGAAAAAATGAATCCTGGAGGAAACCACGTTAAAACAAACGCGTCCAGCACAAATTTGTGTGGACATGAAGAATGTAACTCCTTTCCGAGAAGAATCCAAAAACCCGAAAATCTTGGCTTCTGACCTTAAATAGCGTAAGGCAACTTTTGACGCTTTGTTGATTGAGGACCATGTTGACATTGTTGCAAAAAGCACCAGCTTAAAATTAACAACTACAAAACGAAGTACAATGAGAAATAACCAACGCAGAGAAGCCGTAGGGAAAACATTAGGACAGATGAATAAAACTTTGAATGCATCAAGAAGTTCAAATATCTGTAAGTAAGTAAGACGTACAAAAATCAATATATCCAAAACCATAATAAGACCTATGATGATGAATAGCATTGGTGTCTTCGAAAGTCGAATCGTTGGACAATATATGGGCCAAAGATACATAAACAAAGAACTAAAAGGTCTTTAAGGAGATTCTAATATTGTACGAGAAATAAGTCTAAACGACTGCAGTGGCTGGGACATGAACAGATAATATCGAAAAAGACTTAAGGGTAATGAATACTGATGACCCCCTAAATTCTATAGCAGACACACAAAGATGGAACAAAATAGCGGAAGTGGAAAAAAATCCACCCAGGGTTGCGATCCCTACAGCAGTAATAGCTAACAGCAGAATATTTTTTTTGTATTTTCTAGCAAAGAATTTTCAAGAGGCAATGAATAATATGTCCTTATTTGACGGAGATATCAACAGTCGATAAGAACAGCAACCCCGCGCACGATGTCTATGTTTTTGTAATATAATGATTCTAACAGCCGAACCAACTAAGAGCAGTTGTCAACAATGTTGTCATCGTTTGGAGGTGAGGCGATCAATACGTTAAGGTTAAAAACAAGTGCTCTCCAAGTCGATGGCGGTAACCATGGGCAAATAATTGATCAGAAACACGTTCGGAGTGCCGAATTAATCTCGCAAATCAACAAAAACGCCGGAAGCACTATCAAACAGTCGTACATTGAAATTTTACACGCATATATCTTGGTTATGTAAGCGCCTCGCCTTAAGCAGCCGACGAATGCAATTCGATCCAACAAAAACGACCTTCACTTTGTTATTTTTGCCGTATGCGATTTTTTAAGACATCCAAACCTCTTACGCGTTTTTCAACGAAAACAGTTTACGTCTACAAAAATTGTACGCTACGTTATTATCTATAACACAAAACAGTATCATCTCCCCGGTCGATGTAAATGTAAAGGTGTTGCAGTTCAGTTAACAGTGACTCTTTATTGCTATCTATCTAGCTTTCTCCAGTGAGGCGTTCTATAGAATTTATAAATATTTTATTCGTTCTAATTACAATTCAATTATGCAATCTTTGCAGTCTTTACATATGGAAGGTTCTTCTTTATTAAGTTTTTATCCAACCACCTGTTAGAAACACAACCTTACAACTTTAAAATAGCGCAATCAAAACGTAGAATTGTGTATAATACCAACCACTCCAAAAAGTGTAACACAAAACTAAATAAACGTTAAAAGTTATCGATGCTTAAAATATGACATAAAAATTAAGAATTACAATCTACAATAAAAAGAAAAAAATCCGTAATTTTGGTGTGACATCAGCATGTTTGCTAGTATTGTTAAGATTGAGACGCCACTTTAGATGAAGTTATTCTTTATTTAAAATTTGTGTACGAGGTTTTGTCTTTAAGAGTTGAGTAAAAGGGCCCGAGAGTTGTTGTTGTCAATTTTAAAGTTTAATTTGCTAAAGGGCTTCACAACAACTTTTTCATATATGTTTAGTTTGCAAAATTTAATAACTTTACCTACTTCGTAGAGCAAGCATTTCGTTGGAAATATAACTATTACGATCTACAAGTATTTTTTTCAAGATCTGTAGGTTTTTATGACCTAAAGTGGTAAATGTTTCCGATTATTTTTTTTAAATCCAAGGCAGATATTGTTGTTGTAGATTTGACCGTTACTGTCGACTTCTCATTACAATCGACTATAAAACCACCATAAAACATTATCGCTTTGTTTTTTCGCCAGGTATGGCGAGAAACAGAGGCGAAACAGCGCGGTGGAACTCACCGGTATCCAGCTTCTGTCGGCTACGGCATACCAACTCAAGAAACCCTACCAACAACTCCTAATTCCAATCACCATTTACATCGGTATGGAACAGGCGTTCATAAGCGCTGACTTCACGCAATCTTACGTATCCTGCGCATTGGGTAAGCAACTTTTTTTTTCATTCGTCGGTGCCATATGTAATGGTTGAACCGTATGCAATTTTCCCTGCCCGCAACAAAAATGTCGGTATTGTTTATTGTCTAACTGAGACTGAAATGATAGCCCTCTAACGGCGTTTTGGATATTGTCAAAGTGAAATTCAATTATAGTCTGTTTTAGAAAGGTGTAGAGTAATAGAACCACAATAGTTATGCAAAGAGCAACAGAATGACCCAACGCATACTTGATTTAATTGCAAAATTCTCTCTTTTTATCGAATCCAGGTGGTACCCGAGATTGAATCAAATCAATCAATCAATCAAATGCTTTTGTCTATTGTTATCCACTCACCGACACTGAAAATTTACCAATTTGGATATTAAAACTAAACTTGTGTTTCTTTTAATAGAACAACCTGTGTATCTTGTAATAATTTAATAGTCTAACTATATGCTTTTAAAAAAATGTAACAGATAAGAGATATTTCAAAAAAAGCACACATCTTTTTGTCATTATTTCTGTAATTAATGTAAAAGAAATCTGTATTTTCCATTACTTACTCAAAAATTAAATTGAAATTAAAGATCTGTGTTATATTCTTTGGAAAAGCTAGCAACAAGTCAAATAAAATTATTAAAAGATATGTAAGGTGGTCCTTTAAAAACCCCAAGTTATCACAATTTCTGACTACACCGCTGTATCTAAATATCCAGGATAACTATGACATTTCTGTTTATGCCGCCATTCATTTCATGAAAAGGACTTGGGTCGCGAAAGACGCAATACTTTCTTTATTCATAACAAAGATACGTCGTAAAACCATAAAATATAGAACGCACTGTCCATAGTGTTATGTCCGATCGATCAAGTAGTTAAGATCCCAGATTTGTATTTTTGTCATTAGCAAATAATTTCATCGTTTTTCAGCAAAAGTGTATTACGGTTATGCTTTTTCGAGGTAAAATCCATATTTTTTAATGTGGTGCATAAAAGTTCTATAGTTATCAACGGAATACTGTCATCAACACATCTTATCCAGTCGAGTCATTCGGAACCATCGGTCAACAGTTCCCTATAAATTAATTTTTTTTTTGTGTTTTTTGTGTTCTGTTACAAATATTATCAACAAACTTAGAGACAAAAGTTGCTTATAGTGATTTGTACTTTTAAAATATTATATTATTTTATATACAGGGTGTTTTTTTTTTCGTGTGAAAGTAGCAACTTTCTCTCTTTAAATGGATAAAAATTAATAAATAAATAAAAAATGCATATTAAACATTTTTTGAATTTTTTGAATGAAATACCTATATGGCTTCAAAGCTTTTCTTATGTATTTGGGGTTGATTTCCTTATGGAAGGGGATCTACTATGATAATCCGTATTGATGATTTAAAAATAAAGTAGTACAAGGTAGGCCAAAAATTACCTTAAAAATTGAAATGACAAATTCGTAAAGTCATTTTTTCAAATACCCCATCTTCATGATTTTGTCGTATTTCACATTTAAGCAAATTCTAATAGTAAATAAGACAAATTGAAAAAACAACATTCAGAAAAAATATATAATTATTATTATATAAAATTATGAAAATGAGGTATTTTATAGAAATACATATTTTTTAAAACATTTCTAAAATTTTAAAATTTTTCTGTTAATCTATTAAAACAGGGTTTCTTGTAAGTTTTTGTCGGTCGAGTTTATTTTCCACAAATGTCTAATTGTTTTTCATAAAATTTGTTCCATTTCTAGACATACGACAATAAGCTTCCATTTTTTTAGTGTCCCATAGTTTTTTTTTCTGTCGTGTTTCGCCGTTATGTTCTTGGGCAATTAATGGCCGTTTTGCATTTTTGCAATGGAAAACGTTTTATTGTTCATATTTCAAAAACTCCAAGTTTTTGAAACAGGGAACCTTATACAAAATCACTTTTTTTAAAATTGATAGTTGTAAAATGGGGTATTTCCATTTAAAAAAATGACTTCTAACGTTTTTTCATTACCATTTTTGTTAGTTTTTTATTTTGAAAATATCAACACATAACAATTCTATATGGAAATCAATCCCAAATATGTAACACAGGCTTTCGGTTGGATAAATCCATAAAATATACAGGGCGTTCCATTTAAAAGTGGTTACTTTACTATTTTATTACTTTATACTTTTCTGAAATAGCACATATATCCATATATCAGTGCTCCATCAAAGTGAACATAAGTGTAATTAAATAGCAATTTTTTCAATGTCAACTGGAGTTTGAATCTCACTCCTAGATAGTTGCGATGACAGCTTCTAATAACATGCAGAATAACGTTTTCAAATGAAAGTACAAATAAAAGTTAAAAATGTCTTTTTGACTATATAAACGCCGACACGAGTCTCCATAAGGTCAACTACTAACCACCACTTTCATTGTTATTTTTATTCTTATTTTAATTTTAGTTTTTATTTGCACGTATAAACCATCCTTATGTCTATACCGAATTAATACTCGGAATAGCTGCGTTGTTATGCGTTATGCAATTTTGAGTCCGATGGGTATTTCCTAGTATAATTAAACATTTCGAATTGTTTGGTTATGCAATGGGTGGAATATGGTTGCCGGCAAAACATTTGCTCAACATTAAACGAAATTTCTCTGTATCCAGGTGTATCGAATGTAGGATTTGTCATGATCTGTTTCGGAGTGGTGAACGCACTCTGCAGTTTGCTGTTCGGCAGCGTCATGAAGTACGTCGGAAGAGTGCCGATAATGATTTTGGGCGTGTGCGTCCACGCCGGTCTACAAGCCTGGCTCCTCATCTGGAGGCCCCATCCGCTCACCCCGCTCTCATTCTTCATGGCTTCCGGGCTGTGGGGTGTCGGCGACGCAGTGTGGCAAACTCAAGTCAACGGTAACATAAATTTTTCAAAGAAATATTATTTAGAAACCGCATGGATTCCTCTGAGGTTGGTTGTTGATGAAATAGCACTTTCCACTTGCACATTTGCCACTGGGTTTGTTTTATTGTATTTTTTCGTTGCATTTTCAGTGAAATCAATTTTAATTTAACCAATTTTTAAAAAAAATATTGAAGTAAGTCCCAGAAACGTTCGAAATCAATGTATATTTGACATAAACCAACAAGCTTTACACAGGGGGAATCCTGCACACATGCCTTATCAACAAAATATAACTGAGTTTGCCGGAAAATTCCAGACTTTGCTAAAAAACATATTTTTTACAATCTTTGCTAGCGTTCTCCATGTACGTATGTATGAAGTTTTTTTTTCAAAATATGCAAATGATTGTTATGTTGAATATTTTAATCGACTAGGTGTTAGATGCTCCTAGTAGGTGTTAGATGCTCCTTGAATGAACATCTTACCAATAGGACTAATACGTCTACAAAATGAAAACTCAACGTTTGCTTGAAAGTGGTAGATACTGATACTAAAAGGATGTCGAACTTCCATTGTCTTTATTTTTAACTTACACAACGTTTCGGACTCAAGTGTGGATAACACAAGATATAAAAAATTATGCAAAAGAAAAAAAATATATTAATTTCATTCAGGACAAGAAAGAGATATGAAGAAAACTGTTCTTCAGATCGGATTTCATTAAAATTTGGCTATACCGCAAGTAGCTATGATTTCGCTGTAATATTTCCAAAGAATTTTACGGAATTGCGTTTTACTCTTCATTATAATCAATTACTTAAAAGCTAATCGATATGCTTTATCCTGAAGATATTAAAGTTGGTTTAGGAACACGAAATATTAGAATCTTCTTTTTTTTCTGTTACACAAAAAAGTGTCGTAACTAAAGTCTTCTTCTTTTCCTATTGCCATGTGTTTAGTAGCTACGCTGTGACCACGATATTCTCCTCGGCTCTTTATGTTGTCTAATTCTAAACATTATCTGTCTGCCTACTTCAGCTCTTCGTATTATCTCATCAAGTCTCAATTCGATGGATAATTGTTTTTCAAAATGTGGTTTGGTAGTTAGAACTTTTCACCGCAATTTTGATATCACTATTGTCAATGTGGCAGTCACATGGATGTCGATGGCTGCCTATGGAAATCTTCGTTATTATTGAATATACAAAGATTCCCTCTAAGACTTTAAGTGGAGTTTGTCAGCTGGCGGGAAAATTTAAAAAAATGTCGAGTTTAAAACTTTTCCATATCTTCCTTAATATGAAGGATATTTTTTTCTTTTTCATTTAGAAAGTTTTTTTATATGTCGGTGTAAGATTGTTTTTTTTTAATTGTTGAGATCTAAATCAATATTCACTCGATTCTGTCGAATTTTTGCAATGTTATTTGATGTATTAAAGACCTTATAATCATTAAGTCGAGTGGCGTCCATAACATAAAGTACACTACAATATATGTTGAAAATGTTAACCATCAATTTCCGTACACCGCAATCATCGCATCTAGCGATCAGAAAATATTTGAACATTACTGAAAGTCGGAGCCGGTAGGTAGCAGTAACAAAAGCTGGCAATCGGCACCGTCTCTGACGTCACGGAGACAACGTGTCAATCGTGTGTTACCTAAGACGCATTATGCGGTTTCGGTCTTTTAACATATTAATTTAAAAAAAAAGAATACGTATACATTCGAAATTTGAAGAAACCGTATTTGCAAAGCGTGCATGGAAATCGCGGACAGCCTTGCCCGCGGCCGCGGAAAAAACCGGCCGCGGCCGGTTCAATCAACGGCCTTAGGGCCCAATAAATATTTATTAAGCAAATCAGAAAGCGATGTGCTTCTCTCTCTCCGCTACGTCGTGATTGTTAATTATAAAATAACGTGTAGATTTATCGATATTGTACAGTTAATCTTTTACGTACAGACTCGCCAATGAATCACCTCGAATAACGTCGTTTGCCTACTAACATTTTCCGAATTGACCGCAGATGATATTTACAGGGTGTTATTTAAATGACATCCCATAATCTAACTAGTGAATCTGGAAGCAACGTTGATGCCGAATCGATATTTGGTTCGATCTAAGTCGGATAAATGGACAGCTATTTTCTGTTACCGCATACGGACATTTGACTGACCGCCTTTTAGATAATCCGACGTTGAAAACTATCAAAGAACAAACATCTGAGACGGTTATTAGACTGGACAATAAACAAGACGTGCTGGCTCCATAACTGCACATTTTTCAACTCACCCGATGTAATTTTCCAATGTATCAATCCCAAATGTCGCTTAAAGTTGTTCGTAATTTTAAACTACACCCTCTATCCAATTAACAGTAATTGGAGTATGGGATACACTAAATTAAAAAAGAAAAGAAATAGTAAACAAAAAGGATCCTGACCCGCACCCGACCTAATTACATAGGTCTCGAGGCGGTTAGTTTAAATCAGTGTAACGAATAAAATTAAAAGATTTATGCAATCAAATTAAATCTTAGTTTAATAACGAACGTTGAAAACTACTGTTAAGATACTAGTGAAGAAGACCAGTTAATTCAATTGAGGTTTAAGCCGTAGGCAAAGGCAGTGGCACAACAAGCATTTCATAGGAAGTTTTCCATTTATTAGCCATTTATTTTAATAAACTTTGTATATATAATAATAAAAAAGATAGGACAGGCTGAATCTTTAATTTTCACACCTTCACAATGGCGCTGTTAATGCCTGCTCAACACAAATAAATTTTGTCACATTACCACAAAGTGAAAGAAAAAATCATTGATGTAATATTAGTTAAGACTTTTACTAAAATCCAGTTATTATTTTTCACCAAGCAAATCTTTCTTGACATTTTCCTTTTATAGAATTTAGTGTTTGTAGCATAATGTCTTTCTTCTACTACTATTTGAATATATCCGCTTCATTTCCGCACAAGTTGCTTCCTTTTTAGCATCCTGTGTGCCAGCACTCCCCATAAATGTCAACCCCAACGTCTGCATTCGGGAGCCCCCAGTGTACCTGTCCCCTTGAGGTCAATCTTATAGTGGAGGTCTGTCATTAATGTCTGGTGTCTAGAATTCCGTTGTTTAATAACGTGTCAAGCACCATCAAGCAAGCCTGCGATTTTACTCTGGGCAGTCTGCCGCACCGAGAAAATCCAAGTCAAGAAACAGGATTTCTTGCTAGAATCTCTAACGTTTCCTATTTCGAATCCTGAGGTCCTGTATCGGATCTCTGGACAGAATTCTGTGAATTCAGGTATGATTTGGGATCAGAGATACCCACATACTCACAAAACATTCTTCACAAATCTTTATATTTTTATTATTTGAGCCGTTTTGTACCAGTCCCATTGAGTGCCAACAAATTTTCTTTACATTGCGATCCTCAATTAGAGATCTGAGCTTCACTTATATATAAAAGCGATTGTATTTACGATCGAAGGAAGAAAAGGGCGACAGCTGCACATTACTTCAATATATTTCATACCTGTTAAAAGATAAGCTGTCTCCTGGATTTCCTTGTTGGGCGTAAACCACGCAATTATTTACCATGATAATTGGATAAATAATAAGTTTTTAAACTAAAATTACGCACAATAGTATCGAGAAACACAAAATTCATAAATTAATCCCCCCAAAACAAAAGCTCCGTCGATCCATAATGATTAGCCACGCCGAAATTTTCCTTCATTATTATAGGTTCAATGTTATGCTACCTATTTTCTTATCATGAGTAATCTGAGCTGTAAGTCAAAAATCTTTCGTTGCTTTTTTCCAGGCCTCTACGGCGCCCTTTTTAGGCGCAACAAGGAAGCCGCTTTTTCAAATTACCGACTCTGGGAGTCAGTAGGTTTTGTGGTCGCCTACGCCTATTCTACGCAGCTGTGCGCGCGCATGAAGCTCTATGTGCAGCTCGCCATCCTCGTCGTTGGTAAGAACTTAACCTCGCGTTTTATATTTGATAGTATTTTGGACGTTTCTATCTCGTTAAGGCTTCCTTTTGTACTGCATCGTCGAAATCCATCACATGCGCAAGGTAAGAAGACAAAAGGAGAAAGAGAAGAAGGCCGCCGAATTGGCGGCAAGCAAGAAGATTGCGGAACTCGAACCGGAAACGACGGACGACGAAAAAGACGACATCGACGATGAAATTATCGTCACTCATTTGTAGAACACGTATTTAATAGGTGAGTGTGGGTAGTTGTGAGATCAAACAAGGTTTTCAACATTGTTCTGTTTCTTAATGCGAGAGAGTTATATATCATTATGGAACTGTAAAATTTAGTGGTCTGAGCTATAGTCCAATAGAGCGTAATCTTGTACCTATGATGATTGTCAAAAGTGGCAGGTGGACGGTCAGGTAGTTTTTCTACCTGAACCTTAGTGTTTAAAATCACAATTATAGTCACTTTCTGGCAGTAGTTTGTTCTTGAAAGTGTTTAATGTTTTTGAATTTGTTGTTGAGTAGAGTGTGATACAACAAATGCACTGCAGCAAGAAATTCTTCCAAATCTAGTGTCGTCTATTGGTGTGTTCTTCACCATGTTGATTCGGTTTTATAAATTGAACCCAATTATCAGACTACACGATTGCTTTGCTTCATTTACTTTGGGCTGCGTTTTTGAAGCAGTCGATCGATTGATTCCCAGTTTTTTTGCTCACTTGAAATCCAAAATTGACCATATACCGTAAGAAAATCAGCGTTTTATGGTTTAAAGCGGGGCGACTCCTCTTCTTTGATGATTTTATTTCAAAAAATAAATTCACGAAGGAAATTGATTGGAACTTAATATAATTGTCCGAGGATAGTCACGGCTTTTTCAAATTTTTTCAAAATTTTCAAAAGAAAGATAGATGTTTATTTTACAATTCTTATACTAAGCCTATCCTCCAAATATTAAGAATAAGTTACACTTATATTGTAACTCATTTTAAAGCCGAGAAAACTTAAATAAATGAACACTTTAAAAGCAAATTTTATAAGAGCACATACTATTACATACAAAACTTATTACGCAATGTAAAAAAAGGAAGATTAAATAAATTGAGAGTAAGCATAAAGACGCAAAAGTTAGTTTTTTATGACAATTTTTAATGTCAATTCATGTCCATCTTTGAATGACTTTCATGCAAAATTTTGCCAACATATACTACGAGCTGGTTATCACACTATATTTTTAGACTACCATACAGAGATTTTATTCGGTCGACGGCGTCAGCTTCGTCAATTCGTGGCGGTAGACTATCTGTACAATATGTACGTGGCATAGAATCAACGGTCGAAAAAAAAAATACTGTTTAAAATAACAATACACTCCAATCTTCGTTAGTTCAACCTTGTCGGGCCATATTATAAAAAAGACCACTTAATTTATTTGCTTCATACCCGTGATGTCATCGCCGATTTTTAAACGAATCCGCTTCTGATGAGTGGTTTGGCAGGCAAAAAATGGGCGCTATAACAGCTCATTATCGCAGAAATAATTTCATTCGGTTTCCAACCTCTGCGAACAATTCTAATTGCAGGCGTTTACAACAACATCATTAGTACAAGCGCTGCAATTAAGCTTATTAGTATCCTTACAACAATCAATGTTGAACGTGACGTAAAAAATGCCTATTAAATTTTACGAGTGAAGAAAATTGACAAAAGTATTCACTTTATTTTAACGTAATTTACAACGGCCGTCTCGGTAGTTAATTTTCTAATTCAAGGATTTCATTTCTCCTCTGATTCTTACTTTATAATCATCCTCGATCATCCTTAACATAAATTGGATAAAAACGAAGTTCATGGTTTAGTTTCTTTCTAAATTTTATTTAGAGTGATATTGGTATTTTTTTCTTTGTCATGCACCTTAACAATATAGAATATCTTTTAAAGACAAAAATCAATTATGTAAAAACCGAACTTCTCTTTTAGAATTATTATAATGTACACAAAAAGTGTCACGATTCTTATTATTAATCCTTCTGTATAAAGTTATTGACCAATGTTTTAGGACTAATTAATAATAATACAGGGGCAAATTATCATTCTATATAATCCACAACAAACTATTTTATATTTACTGATTTAGTAAATCTGTCCACTAATCTTTAGATATTTAAAATATAAAATATTCAGGTAAACGTCCTAAGACTGGTAATATTCATAAGTCATTATAAATATACATACGGATATTGCATGTACATTCAATCTTGACTCAAGTGTATCAATATTCTGGCTCCTGGATCATTCATACATAGGTTCCAAAAATATTCACTACCTTATTGCATGGATGTCATATAAACAATATTCGTATTTTCAACTTTTATTGACCAAAAGCAAATTTAATTTGGGCGTATATTTATTAGGCGTTGCAGAATAAAACACTATAAATAATATTGATTGAAAAATTTTAATTGAATCATTGTTATTGCCTGTTTTACTTTTTATATCTTTCTTTCCCCATTTCTTATCGCTACTTATTTTCTCAATGGAAATATTTTTTTGTTTTCAAAAATGTATATGTTATCTTGATTTTCTTGTCAGTAACTTTACTGAGTGGTTCATATGAGTAGCTGCAAGCTAGACCTACGTACATTTTTTTTGTGCATTGACTATAAATAAAAGAATTAATAGAAAACTTAAATTTTCTGAGTAAATTTTTTTTAACAAAATTACAAATATTTTGTAACCGCACCTCATAATTAAAAAAAAAGCTACCTGAAAAATATTTAGATACAGATACAAAGCAATCCAGTTTTACAAGTATAACACCTTCATGTATATTGAATTTTCAATTTCAGTTTCGTATAAGCTGTTAAATTTGTTATATTAAAAGTTGAGTCAGTTAGATGTTCCAGACGAAGTTCATTCTCATTATCATCTTTTGCCTTTCTGTTGTTCAGCCAGTCTTTAGCTCTCACCATCCATAGCGGTATATAAAGGTTAATATCAGTTTTTCCTGGCGGCTGGTAAATAGGAAAAACTATAAAACAGTAATAAATTATTAAATATCTAATTCACATAAACAATTATTAGCTAAAAATAAAACATATCAATACGGTTTGTCATTAATCTATACAAGATTCATCCTGTCACAACTATTACACAACTGTCTCCAATGATATGAAATTCTTATATCTAAAAATACTTTAAATTTAGTTGTGTACTACACTTATTAAGCCCCTTAAATAAGCCACTTGACGAATGGTACTATGGGATAAAAATACAAATTTGCAAGGTAAGAAAGGTAAGTAAGGTAGTAAGGTAAAGTATATTGTAAATGAAATTTGTTCATTCTTATCTAAATTTAAAATATCTTCCATAGCAGCAAAATCAATATATATTTAAATCTATTGTTAAATTATTGCTAAATCTTATTTTCTAAATTCTAAAACTGAAATGCAATTCACACTACTTACAAAATAATGATTGGATCAATGGATTTTTTAAAATATTGTTTGCTTCTGCGACAACAGGAATTGTTTCGCACACTCATCTGCTGATCGGTCGGTGTCTTGTGAATCCTACCGGGAATAAGTAGGTGCAGGCTCAGATTGAAGAGTATTTTTTAATAACTTCATAGCTATAAACAAAAAATACGTTAAATCAAAATTTTGTATGTGAGACCTCAAAATTTTATCAAAACATATTGATAAAATAAATTATTTTATCTTCCTTCTAATGCCGCAAGTATTTGAGTTTGCCCAATACAAACACTCCTATATAACATTATTGTACAGAATCTTGTGATTGTCTTCTCATTATCAAATTCCGAAATTAGTTCTGTTATTATTAAGTAATTAACTTGCAGAAAAATATGGAATATTCTGAGAATATACCTAACTTATTCAACGATGAATGTATATCGAAACTATGTACATGAACATACATTAATCTCCCCGTATGTATGTTCCATGTTTAAGAAAATGTGTATTATATTATATAAGACGAATTTTTACCCATCTCAGAGTGTTGTAATATGTAATTGGTAATGTCGTAAGTGCTGCAGAGATGATGTGTTTTGGAAAATCCGCAATTTACCGGCTTCTAAATCAAGATAAATCTGGGATCGTCGAACTACCCACAGTTTGTCTAGGCCTATCAAAATATGAGGTAAACAGTTTTTTGGCAATAGGATGACAATGTATATATATGATACTTTTTTTTTAACAAAGAATCAACGATGGATAATTTTTTCACTTTGTGGAAACTATTAAAACGATTCGGTCTTAAATGAGGCAAAAATTACATAGGACCTATTTTAATAGATAGGGACGAAATTGTGAGGAAAACTTACGGAGTACTGAAGAAGGCAGTGAAACATCTAACACGCATATTTTATTTAGATGATACATGGATTAATAAAAATCATACAGTAATTAAGTTTTGACTAGACGAAAAGTTTAAAACTATATATTATGAACTCTGATATGTTTCAAAAATGGTTTGAACAAATGATAAAACCTATTCCAGATGGAAGTGACGACTATGAACAATAATGCTGCAGGGGACATTATGAATGTGCAGAAAAATGATTTACATATTTTTGGTGCAAGGATAAAATCAATAAACTCTAACAAAATCCTTGAACAACTTGAAAAGCAAAATTGATTGTACTTGCGACCCTACACGCAACCCTAAACAAAAATTTAAAAAATACTGCGTTGTTGAAATGGTACTCCGGCTTCCGCCTTATCATTGCGAAATTGGCAATTTTATCAAAACCAGTGTGTACCAACAATTTCTCGAATTAGCCTGATTATTTCAAGATATGCAAATTAAAACTGACCTACGAATCCTTTTTTGAATTTGTAAACTGATTAAATTTCGTAAAAAATGAAGAAATATGAGTTTAAAATTTGCAATGCAAAGTTGTTATAATATTAAATAATAATAATACGTATTTAGTTTAACACATAATCGTTTGTTTGAAAGTCACCCAGGTACAAGCAAATTCATAATATGTATTAGCGAACATTTTGCACCTAGATCCATATGAATATTTCCTAGTTTGATTATTTTTTGCGTTTCCCAGCGTTCGCAGGCCCAAGTCCAAGTTGCGAAATTCGTTTCGGAATTATTAAAATCTTACGTTGTTGCTTATTCTCTTTTGATTCGTTCGTATGTGCGCGTTGTTTACGGATAAACATAAAAAGCTATAATTTATTTAAAATCTTCTAAAATTTTCAAAACAAGCCACACAAACAAACAAACAATATTTTTTATGTAATTTTTAGCGGGTTTCTACTACATCGTAGTGGTTTCGTGAAAACGTCAGCTTGCTCTTCTTCAGTAGGTATATACTCTTTTTTCCTTGAAAAACGCATTCTCGCACAAAACGGTGTAGATAGATTTTGTTCGTTTACTGTAAATTGTTACATTATACCAGACTGATCGTTTTCTAACAATTCAGTTGGAAAAATATCAACTTTTAATGATTCTGAACCCTCTCAACTAAGCAATAAACACTCTGTTATTTACAAAGATACTATTAAATAATATGATGCTACACTTCACTACAATTTGTTTTCTTGTGTCTATTTTCCAAAAAATTAGAAAATCTTAATTTATTTAAAATCAAAATTTGTTTTTGAGGGTTGTTAGCGAATTATAAACATATATTATGTCTTGTGATGTACTTTTCATTGTAGACGTAAGCTGGATCGAACCAAAAAAAAATCACTTACATATTCGGCGATTCTCTTAGCGCCGTAACGGCCTGTCATGACAAAATAATGAATTAGCAAAAAAGCGGTCTTGAGAAAATTGACCTAAAACATTTTTTTTTTGTTCTTTTCTTTCGATTTTTCTTTTCTTATTGTTCCGAATAAGTTCAAATTTGAAAAGTATATAAAGTAAGTATGTAAAGTAATCTATTATTAGAACGTTCAAAAATTCCGTTATTTCGATAGATTTTTAAAATAAATTAAATCAATTGTTTTGCCATTTATTGGGAAAAATATTTAAAAGTTTGGTAAATCGAGGTATTGTTTGATGCCCTGTTTTTATTAAAATAATTAAAACACATGAGTAAGGTTAATATTATGACAAACAATGTATTTAATTTTTGCGCAAAAAATCGCGTGAACAAACTAAAAATTCTACAAAAAATAAGTAGTTTGCAATATATGAAGAACTAAGCTGAAAAATTATATGGAGCTGGTGAATCTATATTATCTCAATCTAACCAACCAAAAATTTTTATTTTCGATCTTAATTACTCTACAATAGTGTTTTTTCATGTGGCGTTCTTTGAGTATTAGATTTTATAGGAAATTACATATTCTCATCAAGTAAGTTTGACAGAGATCAAGTATTTTGATAGATCTTCAAAATCCATGGAGACAACAAAGCCACCACCACCTTACGCGCATTAAACTTCATACTGAGATAAAATGATATACTATTTCAATACGCGTTAATTACATATCACAGAACATAGTCCCTACAATGATCAATAATTGTCTTCAACAATACATTTTCTGCCATTGTTATCGATTGTACAAATAGACAGTAATCCAATGGTATTGTGCAATAGCTTGTTTTACCTATAGAAATTATGTTAAAATATGTCACTTTATCTACCATTTTAAATTAAAATATGTGGTAGTACTGGCCAATCAGACTACGGTGGAGTATAAAATCACTGTTTTGTACTTTAGCCATTTACTTTCCAATCCCGTTCGCGAGCTTGCGGAGGAGAGAATATTTTTGCTTTTGCTATGTTTTTTAAATGATTATAATTTAAATCTTCGTCTGCTTAGTATACTACCTTATCACTAAGCAAAATTTTAAAATACATGATGACGAGGACCGTAACTTTTTAATAATATATTTTAACCAACATTTTGGGATATCAAATTAGGATTTCTTTGTCCAAATGAGTGTTTATTTTTGAAAAAAGGTTCAAAGCTCGTGCTGTTTCCGGAAGTATTTTTCTTGGATTTCAACTACAGGCTTTGACAAAAAGAAAATGTCAAAAAATGTATCGATTATTTTAGAAGAGCCACACCAATACTCTTTTATTTGCAAGTTAAATTATATTGTATTGAAAGTCATTAGTCGACTGCTCGCCACTTTTCATTCAAAAATTTTCTGTAACTGTCTACATTAAATGGTGGAACGCATATCAAAAAATTTCATTGCATAACTTTGTAGGAGCGAGCGAGCTCTTTCGCTATAATAGTTCGTGTGTTCTTCTTTGTGCCTTGTTAATTTTGTGGTATCGCGCAAACGCAAGTGAGTGTAAATAATCGTTTTTAAATTGTATCTTGCAAATAATTCGTTTTTATACAGGGTATTTCAAAAAATCGCTCCAAAATTCAGCATAAAAAATATATCAGTTTAGATAAACTTAGATCCAGAAATCTGTAGTTTCCAAGATATAGAGTGTTTAATTTTTTATCAAAAAATATAATTATTTCATAGCCAAATTTATAGAAATATGCCAGCGCGATGTGTACGTCACTGACAATTTTTATTTACTTTCAATAAACAGCTAATAGTTGAACTTTTTTAAATCTTGAGTTGTTTTTGTTTAAGTAACAATGATGGAAATTGGCAATATAACGTATTTTTATGAACATTTATTTTTTGGCCACTTTGTTTTACAATCAAAAATTAAGGAAGTGATGAAAAAAAGCTTCACTGGATGATGAATCTCGAGCAGTACGTTGGCGCATGTTTCTTGAAACACCCTGTATAGTAAAAGGTTTTATTACTAAATTTCGCATTGAATTTTTTGAAAATGAAAAATATTGATTGATCAAAGCTCATGCCTCACTTACACTGGTATTTTTCAGAATTGTTGGCTTTTTAAAATTAGTTAAAAACTAACGAAAACTAACCAAAAGCTTGCTTTTTCTTTAATGTTTACTATTAAAAACTAACAAATTTGGAATGGGAACATAGTATATCATTTAAACTGGGTTTTCCCCAGAATTCATATGCCCTTCGTAAACTACTACGAAAATTTCAGTTTCCTACCAATTCAAAGATGGCAAATATTTTGTTGGGCAACTATTTCTTAAAGAAAATTTTTGCTCCCCACTACCCATTTTAGTATATTTTACGAATATAAATGAAACAGGTAGAAAGGATTCCATGTTGCCGAGTATCATTTTAACCTGTCGTTTTTATTACCATTAAAACGGAGAATAGTGTTGTAGTAGTGGAATAAATAGTACCAATTTCTTACAAAAGATGAGTGGCCACACCTACAAATTGTTGAACAAGAAATTTTGTCAGTCCAAATAGCTAAATAGATTTTCAGTTAGAAACCTGAAATTGCTCCTTTTGAATCGTAGAGCCTCCTCAAAATCATGACAATTGACATTGACATTATCATGGTAGTACGAGGTTAAAGTCATCCATTATTTTATTATATTTCATTATTATTGTCTTGATATTAATTTAGCAGTAAAAATACTGGGAATAATCACAAAAGAAAAAAAAAAATTTGTATGTTAATTTTTCAAAGAAACTTCCACAGGCTACTGTAATGCTTTTTACAAAACTTCTAGATTGCTCCTGCGTCGGTTTTTGCTTAGTCAGTTTCAGTCAAGCTCTGAAGAAGCCAACAGGATGATTGGCGAAACGTCAGCAATTTCGACTCAGCAATAACCGACGCAGGAGCAATCCAGAAGTTTTGTAAAAAACAAATTTGTATGTTACATACTTGACCTTTTCCCCCCATTTCTATCATTCATGACCAATAGAATAGGTTTCTCTAGGAGGAATTTGTAACTAACAAAATAAGGAAATTGATTTTTCGAAATGCGCCAAAGGGAAATATAAATAAAAAAGGGAAATATAAAAAAGGCAGAAAATGTAATAATACATGCTTCTCTTTTAGTATATCAAAAATGTATTCCATAATTATAACCGATCTTCTACCGTAAATCATCCTACGTATAGATTTAATAAAAGCACGTTATAGGCTTACCTGGAATTTTAAAATATGTTTTTTTTTTCAGGCATTCCATTTTTGGATATCGATATTCCACATTCGGTACACTGTTTTGGAGAGGATCGTGGGGCCAGTGTCAACATTTTCAACAATGTTCGAGTAGATCAGTATTTCCCATGCATTAGATCAACTAAATTTTAAACATATATATATGAGGATATAGCAAAATAATGTGGGCTTGCCGATTGCAAACGTTACGTGTAATTGTTATACGGACAAGATAGGTATGCGTAGACTTCACCGGGGCCCTAGCTATTTAAGCGTCCAGTTTTCAGTAAACAAATACTTTTACGCGTATTAATGTTTATCATTGCATTTTATCTGTGATGGTGAATGGAACGCTAACATGTCTGTCACAGTATACCTATCTATTTCAATAGAGCTTGCCTTTTATTGTAAAAAGGATTTATTCTCAAAGTAACATTTTGTGATAAATTCTTATTGAAATAAACTCTAAACATACTGCGTATTTATTTCCTGGATATAGTTCCCGATTTTATGTCAGTGCCATTAAATTTTCGTTTTTAGATACCTATACCTATATACACCACATTCTATTTTTCAATGACATATATCTGCTCACTTTGAGAACCTTTCGTAGGCGTAGGGTATTTTTCGTTTGTTATTTAGTTTATTTATATAATTTTATTTCCCCATAAAGTTACTGTTATATTCGTGTGATTGTGTACAGAAAACTTATGTTTAGCATTAGAGTTAGCAGAGATTATGTAATATAGAAACTTATATAGCAATGTAAATTTAGTAGAGCCATGCTGAATAATAATAAAGAGATTCCAGTATATGCTTAGGTCTTTCCACTAAAAACAAACTAACCAAAACTATAAGCGAACGACGGTATAATTTAAAATGTGCTTCTGACTGGAGGGACAACGTAATTTACTAAACAAATATGATAGATGATATCTTGCAAATTCAGTATATGCATACTCTCTGCTATAATGTGAAAACAATCACCAAAAATAATAACATATAGGATGGCCCTTATATGGTCATAAAACTTGACAAAAGTTATTGGGATTCACTTTTACTTCTAAGGTATATTATTATGCATACAGGATATCTGTATTTTCGTGGGCAAGTAACGATTTCCACACTTTAAATATAACATCTGCACATTAAGGCATTTTTGAATTGCTCGGAACTTCCTAGACATCTTTCACATACAGGCTGTTCCAGAAAAAATGCGAAAAAGATACGAGGGTGGTTCTTCATATAAAATAAGGGGTAGTTTGTTTCAATTGTGGGGTCAAAAGCCAACTGTTAGGTAGATATCACGCAACAAATATAGCGGAAATGTTTTCATTTTTTATCTTAAAAATAATAATATAAATACAAGCTGCATATTTTTTAAAATGTCGGGAGGGGATTAGACTCGCCCTATCATTCTACTTAACTAAAAAACATTTCTATAGACAACTTTAGTAGAACCTTTTTTGTCCCGTGCAACTGTAGAAAAATAATTGGAGTTCTTTCAAACAGTTTTTGGGCCAAAATTTTGCAGATTTCATTAAAAAATGTGGTAGAGCCATATTTACGTTATTTTTTTTAAATGTTAGCTTGAAATTTACCTTCAATGTAAAAAATATGTCAATCCACAGATGTTCGGAACAACTTTTAATATGACCAATGCATTATTGAGACGAATTAAGGCAACTAACTAAAACTCAAACTTAATTTAATTACAACTAACTATATTCAAAAATACTCCAAGAATAATACAAGTCCAAAATTTATTTTATTTCAAAATTAATAACATCACTTCGAATATCTAAAGCAGGATTAGCCTCCTGTAGTAACAGACAAGTTAATTCATACCGAGTATCTTTCAGCAAATCATCCAAATACAATATCTTTAAACTTCTCATTTTATATAATGCTCCAATACCCCTTTCAGAAATATTTAAGCAATTCCGCAAATCGAGATACAACAGACTGTGGGAAAAAATATTACTAATGATATCCATACAGAAATCATCCATATCTTTGCACCCATTAAGGCTCAACCATTGCAATTTTTTAAGGCCTCGAAAATTGACCAGCCCTTCATAATACAAGTTGACATCTTCACAGTCGATCCCTTCCAGATACATATTATCTGTATAGTGCCTGGGTAGGTTGAAGTATTCATTATCATCTCCTTTCAGCCATTCTTTTTGTCCATGGAATTTCACTGCTCCACCTCTATACAGAAGAAAATGTGCAGCGGCTAACTCAGTGCCCAAAATTCTATGCCTCTCTGGTATATACTGCTGCATAAATCTGCCACTATAATCTTTTTTTTCCATCCACCATTTCTTAATAGCGCTTGGTGATAAATTGATAGGCTGTTGCAATGTTTGCATTATTTCCCTATTGTTATGTTCGCTATAGATTGCCCTTAGCATAGTCAGTTGTGCCCCTTCTTTCTCGTGCCATGGCGTTCGCCATTGAAGATCGTCTTTAGTAACGGGATTAACACCATACTTTTTTTTGGAAGTCAATGTCTTCTCTTCGGTTTGCTCATTCTGCTCTCCCGGTGTTTTCTTGGAGAAGCATCTACAATTTTCGACAAGGGTTTTGTGTTTGCCAAATTTTCTGATTACTTTTAACATGACCTAATAACATGTTATTGGTTATGAATTCAATTCAATTCAATTCATTTATGCGTTTCACAAAAAAATGTTGGGCTAGATTGCTAGGATCATTCGCCCATTGCCGACTTCCGTCGAGGATTTTCGCTTCTGGTCAATGACCACCACGTACAAAGAAGAAAAATAACCAATAATTTGCTCAGCTAGCAAAAAACGATTCTGACCGATAGCAAAAAAATCGGCTTCCCCCCGCTTCCACCGCGGACCATCCGGGCCCATCCGCCCTCCATACCGGCGTGAACGGGGAAAAACGACGGGGCCGACGACGATTATCACTGTAAGACGTACACTGAACATTCAAAACACTAAATCCACACCGTGGAAACCGATATCAAACTTTTTGGGACGAATAAATGGGATTCTGTCGGGAGCGAACAGAGGTTAAACCGCCGCGTGCAATGTTCCACCACAGAATCCTATTGGTTATGAAATAACATCATAACCATATAACTTCTTCTTTATTTCTACAAAACTTTGGGTGATTCTAGAATGATTACACGCCCATTATCGACATTCGTCAATGAATCATAGATCGATCAAAAGCCACCGTCCGTGATTACTTTGTTCTTGTCTAAGCATTGTTTTTCTCCTAGGTATATGCACCAATTCACTATGATTTGCGTGGCACTAAAATGAGAAAGCTTTCTGTAAGCAATAAGGAAGCATATGGTTAGTTTTTGTTATTCTTTGTTTTGCTAATAATATCTCAAAGTACGTGAGAAAGAAAGAACATATAATTGACACTTTATTATTGTGTTAAGGACTTAGGAAGAATCTTCGACATGTCACCGATGGGCGAGTGTTTAGAATAATTAATCACCTTAAAAGCAAATAGAGGAAGATAATCTCCGGTTGAAATGTAGTTCTTACTATCGTCACTAGAAGTCGCTCAGGCAATGTTTGCTAAATATTTTCAAATATTCAAATAACAAGAACGTTAATGAAAAGTAATTTGGAAATCTCAATTAAGTTCAAAGTGTAATAATAGCGGCGTGGTGTAGTTTAACATAAGAACTCATAATTTTGTGGTGAAAAAATGGTGAGATATCGAGCGTTGAGAGGTTTTTATGAAACTGAAAGGACGATAGGATGCGGTGGGTTCGCCAAAGTTAAACTTGCTACCCACTTGGCTACCGGTGAAAAGGTTGCCATCAAGATAATGGATAAAACCACCCTTGGTGAAGACTTGCACAGAGTCAAACTCGAATTGGAAGCTTTAAAATCATTCTCCCATGAACACATTTGCCAGTTGTATCAAGTTATTGAAACTGATTCGCATTATTTCATTGTTATGGAATATTGTTCGGGCGGAGAGCTGTTTGATCATATTGTGGAGAAAAATCGACTCACTGAATCCGAAAGTAGGATGTTTTTTAGGCAAATAACTTCAGCTGTAGCATATCTACACAGTTTAGGTTATGCCCATAGAGACTTAAAGCCAGAGAATGTTCTACTGGACAAAAACCAAAACTTGAAATTGATAGACTTTGGGCTATGTGCAAAGCCCCAGGGAGGTATGGATAACCCTCTGTTCACATCTTGTGGGTCACCGACTTATGCAGCCCCTGAACTCGTTATGGGCAGGCAGTATTTAGGACAAGAAGTCGATGTTTGGGCGATGGGGGTGCTATTATACGCTCTTCTAACGGGTAGTCTACCCTTTGACGATGTGAACGTTGATAATCTGTACAAGAAAATTCTGGTGAGTCCATTGTTAATACTAATGACATTTTCATAATCCATGACACAAGAAAAAGTGTTTATTTTGGGTGACGGAAATATAGTAGTTTTCGGTTTAAACAACAAGTTTCAAGCAGAATTTCCTCCCAATTTGTTATCCAAACTTGCCCCCGAGGAATTTAGGTAGGACCAATTCGTTTATTAGCTTAAAAACTTCAACTTCAACTGTAATGCTCTTAACGTTTTCTCGCAAATTTACATTTCCGATGCTAGATGTCGCCACCGCGGAATTGTTACGTCGTTGGGCTCTTAAAGATATCTTTACCTTCTACCCAGGGATTTTTTTTCTTTCTTGCGGTAGATGGCGACGTTTGTGTACTTTTTTGGGTGGATGGGTTGTTCAGTTAGCTGGAGATAATTTTGGATATATTATTATTATTTGGGTAATGTTTCAATTGATTAGTATACATTTGCAGGTATACCGTTCACAAAATAAACCGCGTTCTTAGAAAAGATGTCGCCAGGACTTTCGGTATATGCCTTCTGAGTGCTCTGTGTTGTTGCTGTACTTGCGGCGCTTCTCTAGTTCCTCCGTTATTTCTAAACAAAAGGACGAAATCAAAAATTTCGCGAATTTTGCAACAGGAAAACCAAAGACTCTACAATCGTCTGGGTATGAGGTGGAGTTTGGTGAAACACCGATTCGGTTTGAGCGTCGAGTATTGTTTACAGCTCGAAATCCGAGCAACAAAAGTGGCGGCTGATGAGCCCGATTAATCGGTCTTATTTGTATATTTTTGAAATAATAAACCCTAAAACCTCCGGTTTGTCAAGGATTTGTTTTTAACCACGATACCAAAGGGGATCAAAAATGACGCCAATATCTTTAGGAGATAATATTTGAAAGTTATTTTCTTACAATAAATTAAAGCCATGTAAAAATGGTAATAGTATTGCGCAAATTAGTGATGTCGATTTCGCTGAATTTCACATGATTGCACGAGATTTCGTATGCATTTCTCAACGTTGCCATGGCAACCTGCGCCTTTTTTCCAAATTTTTTTCTTGTTCGGGTTCCCCACATAGCTACTAAAGATATGTCCTATGAAACTTATTAAGCAACTATAAACAATTTTTTGAGAAGGTCCCCTCAACATGCCCATGCACGAGATTTAAAATTGTTTTTAACGAACGACCTTGCGACATTCAACAACCAACATGGTCGCTAACAGATTGTCGATAAGTTTAGATGCGGCATTTTTGCGATACTGTTTTCTTAATATATTCATTTAATTTTTCTGGAAAAACGAGTAAAATGTGTATGTGACTCGTTATATAGAATATATATATATATATATATATATATATATATATATATATATATATATATATATATATATATATATATATACATATATATATATATATATATATATATATATATATATATATATATATATATATATATATATATATATATATATATATATATATATATATATACATATATATATATATATATATATATAATATATATATATATATATATATATATATATATATATATATATATATATATATATATATATATATATATATATATATATACATATATAAATATATATATATACATATATATATATATATATATATATATATATATATATATATATATATATATATATATATATATATATATATATATATATTTATTTTATAGGTTGATTCTTAGGGTTTGGTCCACAGTGAACAAAACTCATAATTTTAAAACACTGTAATTGTCATTTACGTTTCGACCGGCAACCCAGGTCTTTCTCAAAAACTGCAAAACAAAGGACAAAAAAAGCGAGATCATACAAAGAATTAGTTCGCTATCAAAAAATAAAACGTCTAACACAGAATATCTTAAACAGTAGACATATACGAATTTAAAAATTACAAATATTACAAAAACAAATTACATATATTAGTCATACTCACAAATTTATTATTTTTTTTTTAAATGTCTATTATTAGCGCTGTTTGTGTATATGTCTACTGTTTAAGATATTCTGTGTTAGACGTTTTATTTTTTGATAGCGAACTAATTCTTTGTATGATCTCGTTTTTTTTTGTCCTTTGTTTTGCAGTTTTTGAGAAAGACCTGGTTTGCCGGTCGAAACGTCAATGACAATTACAGTGTTTTAAAATTATTTGTGAGTTTTGTTCACTGTGGACCAAACCCTCATATATATATATATATATATATATATATATATATATATATATATATATATATATATATATATATATATATATATATATATATATATATATTCTCACGTATTGATTCACGGATGGAAAAATATGATGACACTATATTCCGGGATATCATCCGTTCGCTCGTTGAACTCCGACTGGAATCCTGCATCCGACTGGAATCCTGCAAATCCTGCATCCGACTGGAATCCTGCATACGTTTCGCCAAAATCTCACTTGGCATCTTCAATGCTCGCGCTCCGAAAACACTTCGAACACTGGGAGATTATCGGCGGTGCGTGCGGTATTTATACTCTGCGCCGGAGATGGTAACGGTGCTGCTTGTGCGTGGGGGGAGGTGGCTCCGCCCCCTGAATTGTCGCGTTGTTAATTTCGCCCGATCGTAGTTGCGATGTCCCCGTTGGCTGCTGCGCATCGCTCTGCTGTTTGATTATCGTTCTCCACGTGTTGGATAAATGCAGAGCGTCGTCTCTCGTATTGAGGTGTCCGGACTTTTCTATTTCGATGGCCTCTCGTATAATCCTAGTCCTAAAATCAGGAATATTAGCTATTTGTTTGCAAGTGCCGAAATCAATTTTATGGCCTGTCTGATGTTGGTGCTGAAACAAAGCAGATGTTGTTTGTTTGTTTCTTATGGCTAAACGATGTTCCTCGAGCCTGGCTGAAATCCTTCTGTTGGTCTGTCCCACATACGTCAGGCTGCACGATCCGCATGCTACACTGTATACTCCTTGGTTTTCCAGAGTAATTTTTTGTTTTGGGTTTCTTAGTATTGCTCCGATGGTATGGTCAGGTTTGTATGCCGTTGATATGTCGTGTTTCCGTAATATTCGGCCGATTTTGTCAGTAACCCCCTTGATGTATGGCAGGACAGCGATCGATCTTCGTTGGGTCTCGTCCTGCATTCTCTGCTGCGGCTGTTGTTGTTTACTGATTGCCTTGCTGATGGTGCGCCTTTGGTATCCGTTTTGTCGAAGACAGGTACTAATTTTCTTCAGTTCTTTATCTCTGTTCCTCTCGTTTGTGAGCCTGAAGGACCGAGCAATTAATGTATTTGCCACTGCCTGTATCTGTGATGGGTGGTGATGAGATTTAGCGTTCAGATATCTATCAGTGTGGGTTGGTTTTCTATAGACAGTGTGTTCCAAGTGTCCATCTTCGGTCCTTGTGATGTGCACATCTAAAAAGGGCAGACTGTTATCCTCTTCAAGTTCTATTGTAAATTGAATCCTTGGGTGAATGGAATTCAGATGGTCTAGAAATTTCAAAAGCTCCTCCTTGCCAAAAGGCCATACAACAAATACGTCATCAACGTATCTTGTCCATAGTTTTGGCTTCAGATTTGCCTTCTCTATTGCTTTCTTTTCGAAGTAAATCATGAAGAGGTTGGCAATCACAGGTGAGAGAGATGATCCCATTGCTGCTCCATCTATTTGTCGGTAAATTTTCCCGTTGTGCATAAAGTAAGTGTTTTTCAGGCAATGTCTTGACAGATCCATTATGTATGGCGGAAGATCTTCGTTTTCTTCTATAAGCAAGAGTGCCTCTTCTACTGGAATACTCGGGTAGAGGGATTTGACATCGAAACTTGCCATAATGTCGTCCTTGTCCATCCTGAGAGAACCTAAAATCTGAGTGAAATGTTCTGAGTTTTTAACATAGGAATCTGCCTTTTCCACTATAGGCTGAAGTGCACTGGCCAGATGTTTTTCCAGCTTGCATAATGGTGAGTTAAAGGCGCTTACGATTGGACGCAGGGGAACCCCGTCCTTATGGATCTTTGGGAGCCCGTAGAATTTTGGGCAACGACTCGATTTTTCCCTCGGAATAAGTCTCTTCTTTGTATCCTCGTTTATTGATGAATCGAGAATTTTGGACTTAGTTGTTTTTTCCAAATATGTCGTGGGATCTCTGGTGACTAGTTTGTATATTGGGTCGTTTAAAATATCCTCCAATTTTGCATTATAATCCGACGTATTCATGACGACAGTGGCATTTCCTTTGTCTGCTGGCATTATTAGAATGTTTTCGTTTTTGTTTAGATTCCTTAAGGCTTGCATTTCTTCTCTGCTTAAGTTTGGTTGCGGTGGTTTTGACTGTCTTAAGACTCTGGCGACATCTTGCCTAATTAACTCCGCATCTTGTTCGTCTATGTTGGAAAGACTTGCTTCGACGTTGGAAACGATCTCTTCGACGGGTACTCTTTTTGGAGCTATTGCGTAGTTAAATCCTTTATTCAGTACGCTGACTTCTGTATCGGAAAGATGGTATGCTGAAATATTATGAACTGTACTGCTTCGGTTTGTATTTGGCACTTGTCCTGATTTTTTGGAATTTGACTGAAGGATTTCTAATTTCTTCCACAGTTTTTTTGACGTGATGTCCTTGTCTTTCTCAGTGCGCCATGATGTTAATAATTCTATGCGGTCCCACAGCAACTGATGGATCTTGTTGCTCAGTTTCAGGTGGAGTCTGAAAAGTTGTAGCTCAGTCTCACTAATTTCGTACCGGGTCCGCCTGATCTGGTCTTGGAGTAGGGCCTTGCTAGCTTTGTCCAGGATAGCTTTGCAGGATTCCAGTCGGATGCAGGATTTGCAGGATTCCAGTCGGAGTTCAACGAGCGAACGGATGATATCCCGGAATATAGTGTCATCATATATATATATATATATATATATATATATATATATATATATATATATATATATATATATATATATATATATATATATATATATATATATATATATATATATATATATATATATATATATATATATATATATATAACAAATTTTAATTAATTGGGGTATCGGTCCTTCAAATGATGATAGTTTGCTGCCGAGCCTGGCCCATTGTTTGAGCAGTGAAACTGCTTCGTTTCCATATCGAGCTTTTATTGATTGGTAAAACCCCATTCCTGTAAAATACACAAAACGGTAGTCGTGACCGGCTAGTTGAACAACAAATTTTAATTAATTGGGGTATCGGTCCCCAATTAATTAAAATTTGTTGTTCAACTAGCCGGTCACGACTACCGTTTTGTGTGTATGTATATATATATATATATATATATATATATATATATATATATATATATATATATATATATATATATATATATATATATATATATATATATATATATATATATATATATATATATATATATATATATATATATATATATATATATATATATATATATATATATATATATATATATATATATATATATATATATATATATATTTCGGTTTTAACTAATACAAATAATATTTGGATTTTGTTTAGCTGTTTTTCATGTAGTTGTCGATATTTTCTGATTCTTCTAAAAGGTGTTAGTGGACGATGACAAACAAATTGTCCTCCGTTTTCTTCAATGAGACTTTCCAAAAAGAACATAGTGCGGTGATACCTTTTAATATCGGACATTTGTTTGCAAAAAAAAATTGCACACTGTAATTGACCAGAATTCTACTTGGATATGCCACCTGGCAGCCATCGCAATCGCGCTAGTCATAGCATGATTGATAGGTTAAGAATATCCCTTTTTAAAAACTCCAGGTTCCTTAAAAGCGCGTTAAGCCTTTTAGAATATATGGACATTTATTTCAAAAATTGTTCCAACACTGCCTACTGTTTTCTATGCAAAGATAGAGCAAACAATATTTAAAGAAACAATATTTGAATTTATCGCAGCTCGAAAATAGTATTCACTGCAACTACTGTTAATATTGGAAATTTTTGTAAAATCCGAGTTTTAAAAATCAATATAACAATTACGCATCCTGATTGCCATTTCATACAGTCAATTTTCTATTGTATGAGTATTTTAATTTTATTATTAATTTGTGATTATTATTAGTTATCAAATTCTTTCTTTAATAGGTAGAGGGAAATGAATAACACTTTAATGTAAGAGTAATTAAAACATTCCTACGGTAGCGCTGGTATTTCTGGTTAATATAAAAAAATAATAAAATAAAATTATAAAATAAAAAATAAAAAGATATTCCAATCATTTTCCACTATCGATGATTGGGAAAGTTTTCAAATGTACATGGTTTCATAAAATATGATTATCAGAATCTTACTATTGAAATTGCCGTGGGAGAGAAATAGATAAAAGTCTTTTGTGAAGACATTAAATGTGTAATTCCAAGCTGTATAGTAGTACAGTGTTCGTCAAGCTTTTATGGACTGCTTGCCTTCGAGAATAGGGAAGAGGTCAATAATCGTTTATATTAGAAGTGAAGAGGCTTAAAAAAAAGTTTGGATGTTTGTGAAGTCTATTTGGGTGAAATGAACTATCTTCCTGTCGGTTCAGTGCTAGTTACCCGTAGAGGATACTTACATATAACAAATTTACACAAACGTCGTTTTATGAAACTGTATAAATTTAATCATACTCCCAAGTCAACATCTCAAAAATCCGGGCAACATTCGATATACAAAGTTTGAATGAAACTTTATAGGTTTGTGAAATACGCTGTGGAAGATATGGCAGGAAAACAAAATGTAACTGTGATGCCCATATCGACTTATCATTGCGAAGTAATTTCTGAGTAGGGTTTTTTCAACACATACCTACTAGGGTCACTTAAAGCTAGCGGGACTCTTATTGTGTGTTAAGATACCTTAATGTTTTTGCGGGGTCTCTTTCAAATGGTGCAATGCATGCTGAGGTTTAAGATTATAGGCTATTTTTATGATAACATCCTCTACATCCAGATAAATTTACATTCTCCACTGTGGACCCGTAGTTATTTAATTAATATATCAAATTAGGTCGAAGCCATAGGGAGTAATGGGATTGATAGGAGGATGTTACTGAATGTAATTGCTCAACCCTTGCCTCATATCACCTATATTATCAATAAGTGTTTATTAACTTATAAATTTCCCAGTCTGTGGAACTATGCTAACATCATTCCTGCCCCTAAGACCACTGAGCCGCATGAGCTTTTCAATTCCCGCCTATATCTAAATTACTTGAAAAACAAACTCTTGAGCAGCAATTAGATAATTTCATAGCTTTCATTTGGCTTGAGGGCTAATACGGCTCTCTTAGAAGTCTGTGATGACATTTGGCGTGCTAGCGATGTAGGTGTATATACTTGTTTAATGTTGCTTCACTACAACAAAGCCACACACACAGACACACTCACACACACACACACACACACACACACACACACACAGACACACACACACACACACACACACACACACGCACGCACACACGCACGCACACACGCCCACACACACACACACACACACACACACACGCACACACGCACGCACGCGCACACACACACACACACACACACACACACACACACACACACACACACACACACACACACACACATACACACACACACACACGCGCGCATCTGGCCACCATTTGTCATTTATTAAATTCAATTATTTTGAAGTGAGATGGCTTTTACTTGAAGAAAATCCATTTATCAAAATAAATAAGAACTAAAAGTTCAGATTTTCACGAAATTATATATTTTTACATGACAATTGTTTCGACAACACCATGTCTTTATCAAACATTTAAAAATCTGAACTTAGTTTTTATTTATTTAAATTATTTTGGACTTGGTGACACTGCTGTGGACTTTTCCAAAAATGAATTCTCTGATCGGTACCAAAGAGTGCATTATAACAACAATTATTCTGACTATGTTCATATTTCCAAAGGAGTGACACAAGGAAGTATTTTGGGTCCAATGTTATTTTCTATTTATACTTCCGAATTCGGTCAAATGAATAAACATTTTTACTAGCAGCAGTATGCTGACGATACACAAATATACGACTCTTTCAGTTTTTTTTTGAAATTAATAAAGCCATTTATAAGATAAAACAGTGACCTCAGTATCCTCAGTGATATTTTCAGGAAGCATGGCCTTTTACTAAAGGAAAAAATTGGACGCAACTTTTAATTTTAGATAGAGGTAGAATAAATAATGCTCAAATTTAGGTTTGTCTTCAGAGTAAGTACGGTTTCAACGTCGTGTACCTTCTTTAAACCAAAAGTCGTTCTATAATTTTCTGTTGCTCTACTTTCGGTAGATGTGTTAAACATGTGTTATAACCGACTCATTCTCTAATACCGTCTAATATTCCATATTGAAAAAGAAAAATTCAACCTTCATCATCTTCAGAATGTTTGTCTTAGATTCTCTTATGCGGTTTTTAAGTTCGATCATAGTTCTACGAGCCTGCAAAGGCCACCAAATTTACTTGACAAACTTACTCGTGGGTGGGACATTGATTCAGTTAATATACGCCATAAGGAACTGTTTGCTGTTCCCAAGCATAATTTAGCCTCATTTAGCTTTAACTATAAATTTCGATCTTTAACATCATTAATTAATTTTAAACAAGAACTTCGGCGACATGTTGTCCGCAAAAGAGGCATCTATGTAAATTGGGTTTTCTTTTTATTTAGAATTTTCCTTTTTAAATCCGTCACAAAATATTTGTTTTTCATTATCTTTCTATATTGTTACTCTGCAATCCCTTTGTATACCTAATGAGGTTTGGTACTCTACACCTTTTGGAAGAAAACTATAACTGCAGGAAAGTCATTTATTCATTTAAAAATTGAAATTATTTCACTCGTTTGCTGATCAGAAGATTAATTCCCCCATTAATTATTGCAGTGCGGTAAATATTGCGATCCGCCCTACATATCCAGACAAAGTTCGGAACTGATAAGATCGATGCTTCAAGTTGATCCGGAGAAGCGTATCACGGTCGCCCAATTGCTGTCGCACCCGTGGCTCACACTGGGTGTTCTCGATCCGGTCGATTTCCAACCGAAACATTACAAAACGTACGACTCTGCCTGCCTGAATGCCATGGCGAGACATCTCGATACGGATGTCCAAAGCCTGTGGGGCGAGGTGTCCAAGTGGAAATACGACTACGGGACCGCTACGTATTTTCTGCTGATGTGTCGTAGGAAGAGGGGCGAGAGTTTGAAATTGAACCCCTTATTCAGGCCCGAGGCGATGGGCTGCAATTTTGAGGTTGGTTATGATTAATATCTACGAAATAGCGACTGTCGATGACGTCAACCTGCAGGGTGAAAAAGTGCGCGGAGTGCTGACGCCGAGCACTAGCAACGGAAGAAACTGCCTTTCGCCCTACCTTCCGAAGACTCCGTCATCCGCCGTACCGATGAGACGTTCTCGATTTAATGGTAGAATCGAAGATGACGACAAGCGCATAGCTGGACGGTTTCCTGATCCGAAGAAGCCGACCTGCGTGCCCCAGAGGTCATTGAAGAGACCCAGAAGTCCATTCCTCGAGGATGCTTCACCAGGTTAGTGACTAAAACTCCTTCGTTTGCGCTTTGGCTACCTTTTGTACAATAAAATGATCTACTTTTTATACACTGACCTTTAAAGAACAACGGCCACTAAAAAGTCTGTATTATTCATTTTATGTCCAAAAGTACTCTAGTCAGTCATAAAAAGTTCTGCTTGTTGAGAAAATGAATTCACGATAAAAAAAGTGTTAGATCAGATATACAGTATGTTAATAAATTAGGAAAATATGAAAATGCCTCAAGAGTGAAGTACCATTATTTATTATTTTGAACCAAAATTTGATAAAACAAAGCAGCATAAAGATCAAATATAAATTTCAAAATAAACAGTCAAATATTTTAAAATTAAGTATTAATAATTATTGTTTTCAATTAATTATGACTTTTACCAATAAATCAAAATTGGCGATTTTGTTTACGTTCAAATTTCTGTCATCATTTTATTAACATCTGTGTAGACATTTCTAAAGAAGATCGTATTTATTTAATATGATGAAAACACTTTAATGAAACTGATGATGAATGTAAAGAAATAAAAAAAAAACTTTTTTCTACTCCCGTCTGTAAAATACCTAATTACTCACCGATCTAGCGTGCGGGAAGCGTTACTTTACCAAGTAAGTTTCGTTTCCCATGAATCCGAGCCACTTCGGACATTTCCGGGATTTTACCGCACGGATTTGAGAGCAATCGAATGATTTCGAAGATATTTCCCACGCTTCGAATTTTGACGTTTGTTAATTCTGACAGTGAATGAATTCGTGTTTTTTTGCGAAAATGTACCCAAAAAGTAACGGTCGTAGAAAAAGTATAGTATGCTACACGTTCGGTAAACTATTGAACTCACTCGTTTATTAAAAATTCGCTCCGCTGCTCTCCGCTCGTGTCAAATAAACTCGAGAGTCAAATGCCGTTTACCGCACTTGTTGCATAATATACTATTTTCTACTCGCTTTTCTAAAATATCTAATTATACACCGATCTAGCGTACGGGAAGCGTCACTTTACCACGTGATTTTTTTGTCCCACGGATCCGAGCCACGTCGGACATTTCCGGGATATTACCGCACGCGTTTGACAGCAATCGGGTGTTTTCGGCGATGTTACCACACGGCTTGTATTTTGACGTTTGTATTCCTGTTACCTTGCAAAAACGTATCCCAAAACTCATGGTTGTAGAAAAAGGATAGTATGCAACACGTTCGGCAAACTTTTTAAATCACTCGTTTATTATACAATCAATATTTAACACACTTGTTGCATAATATACAACGAGAATGACGTAGCTACACAGTTGTATATTATCAGAAATTATTTTTCCGGAATTTTACCGCACGGGTTTGGGAGCAATCGGATGTTTTTGGAGATATTTCCCACTCTGGCGGTTATGTCGGTCGTAGAAAAAGTATAGTATGCAACACGCTCTGTAAACTTTTTAAGGCTCGCTCCGCTGTGCTCCGCTCGTATCAAATAAACTCGTGAGTCCAATTCCGTTTGCCGCACTTGTTGCTATTAAGGATACGTGCACAAGCAGTGGATCTAAGCAAAAGTGAATTACACACAATTTTTAAGGAAAACAAAAGAAAGCGAAATTAAACCGTTTAAGCCAAAGATGCGGCATACACATCCACCTAGAGATGAAGAGACACGTTCAGGGTTTTATTCATAGTTGTGAAAAGTTCCTTGAAATCCGACGATTTGATAGATTTTTTTTACCAATAATCTACATTTTGCATAAATGGACTCGTATGTTCACAAAATAGTCCTCATTGGGCTTACGAGAATCTTAATTGCCTAGGTCATAAACGAACGAAATCAACGTTGCAATAAAGTCAATGTACGGTGTGGAATTTTTTTTCCATCGGATCATTCGCCCATATTTACTAGAGGAAAATTTAAACCCACACGTGTCTTTGAATATTTTGGAAAATTTTGTCTTATCATTTCTTAATACTTTAGAGCCAGAAGGGCGTAATACTATGTTTTGACACCAAGGCCACTGTCCTGCTCATTGGACAGCATTTATCAGACAATGTTTACATGCTCATTTTAGCGGAAGGAGGATAGCGAGGTTTGGTCGAAATCATTATCCTGTTCGGTCGTCTGACATTTCGTTATTAGACTTCTTTTTTTGGGGTGCAACGCTTTTTCGATAACTTAATAAATTTGTCGTTCGTGGATTGTTTCTTCTATGCGCTCTTTCTATTTTTCCCCATTATTTGGAAGATTAGGTACACCGTGTGCCAAATAAAACGATCCACTATAGAATCTGGAAACCCATAGGTGGTACGAAAAAAGTTTATACAAAAGTTTCTTGTATTCTCCTGAAGATTTGAAATAATATAATTTTGTTGATACAGGATGTCCCAAAAGTGTCCCCCCGACATCTACTTTGTTATTTTAAATGGAACACCGTATATATTTCAACATTTCTGGAATCCTTGGTTAAAATAATTTGTTACCCTGTTTAGTTAGCCTATAAACTCTAATTATTTATTTTTGTTATTAGATATGTTCAATCAAGTTAGATGATTAACTATTAAATGTTACTTTAAATATGAATGCTGAAGTTTTATTAAGTCTGTTAAAGTGTGTAGTATAGAATCGATTTTTTTCAAAATTTCCACGTATTAATGGACACCCTGTATTGTTAGCGATAGGTTTCATTCGTATATCTGGAATCTTTGCTATTTAATAAATACCCAATATTGCAAACAAGTGACCTAATGTGGACAGCTTTAAATTCAACAAGAATTTATACGGGTGTAATCTTAAACCTCGAATATTTCAACAAGTAAGTAAAATTTAAATATGAGATAAATTACAGACTTACCTTATTTTTTGTCCTAGAATTGATATCTGAATCAAAATATAGGGTGGATACCTGTATCAGTAGTCACAACGTAATTTTATACGGGGCAATCAAAATATGAAAAAAACACAACTTTAAATTCTAATAAGAATTTCTTAAGAAAGTGACCTTTATTTTAACCAAGGATTACAAAAATGTCGAAATTTACATGGTGTTCTATTTAAAATAACCAAATTAATGATAGTTTTGGTACACCGTGTATCAACAAAATTATAACATTTTAAATATTCAAGAGAGTCCAAGAAACTTTTGTACTAAACTTTTTTTTGTATCTCCTATGGGTTTCCAGATCCTATAGTGGATCGTTTTATTTGGCACACGGTGCACCTAATCTTCCATATAATGGGGAAATATAGAAAGAGCACATAGAACAAACAATCCACGAACGGCAAATTTATTATTATCGAACAAGCGTGTCGAGGTGGGAGCTATATTCAATAATTTTTGAATTTTTTTTATTTTGAAATTTGTACTTATTGTTTATGCTAGTTTATAAACAACATTGTATTTTTGTTTTGTCAAAAATAGTAAATAATGGTACTTCTCTCTTTTATATCTTATACATTTTTATAGGTTTCTAATTTATTAACACCCTGTATATCTCATCTAACATTTTTTTATTGTTTTTTCTCGAAATTTTAAACACCCTGTAGAATAAAACAGCCGGGGCAGCTATTGTCAACTGGAATCAGATTGTAGTATGATCTTTTTAGATCGTTTTTGTTTTTTGAATCACGACATTATCTCTGTTTTATTGGAGATCTATTGTTTCAAAGCGAACGCCTCTGATGAAGCTGTGAAATTGCAACAAATAAAAATCAAATAGTAAGTATAATTATAAAACTAAAAAATAAAAATATTTTAAGGCCACGGCTTTATTGTGGCTTCCTCATTCTAAACTGACTTTACGGATACATATTTTATTGTGTATTTAATTTGTTAAAATGTTCTTTCGTTCCAAACGAAATTTGATCCATTTTGGCGTCACGCGATAAAAGCAGAAACATATGAAATTGTATATTTCGTGTTTTGAAAGTATATCAAGCATACTTTTTATAAATCTTCTGGATTTCTCCCGCCTCGGTTTTTGTATTTTACTCTGTGCCTGATTTTATGTTGTTTGAGGGGGGCAGAGCTAAATGAGGAACATATACACCGTCTCGGATGATTGATTACCATATTGGTGACAGGTAAAGACCTGAGTCGCGGTTAATATTGTTGCTTATAGATTTCTATAGATTCTTGGATTTTTCGTTGGTAGAAAAATTGATTAAATGGAAGTATTTTAGTTTTATCGAATAAAATTGTATGTCCGGTTTCGTGATTGTGTCCGGCAACTGCTGATAAGTTTATTTGTCTTAGTCCTAACTTAAGGCTCCTTCATGTTTTTGAAGCCTAATTGATATTTTTCGTCCCGTCTTTTCAATGTATTTTTGGCAGCATATGCAAGTAATGCTGTAAACTCGTGGCACTCAAATGGAATTTAATCTTTATCATTGTCATTGCTATTGGAAGGTTGTGGTGAAGTGTATTTTGTGATGGAACGCTTAATATCTTTAATGTGGACATTATTAGAGAGAAGAGCAGAGGTAAGGTGTTTTAATTCTGGGTTCAATGACTCAGGCTGAGATAGTTTTACGACTCTGTAAACAAGAGAGTTGATAACCGATGATTTTTGGGCCGGATGGTGATGTGACAATTCATGCTGATTTTCTATTGATAAGGTTGTGAGGTTATTATTTTCTAATTCAATGTAACACGTTTGTTAGAGTGTATAGAGTTTAAATGTCAAATAATAAAAGTGTCATCGAAGTAGCATTTCCATAATTTTGGTTTTAGATGGAAGGTATCGAGAGCTTTCTTCTCAAAGGCTTTCATATATATATATTCGCGATGACTGGATAGTAGAGCTGTTCCCGACTTTTGTTTAAAAATTTGACTGTTATAGGTTTGGTTCCAGAATCTCTTATTTTAATGTATAATATGTAATGATGGTGAGAGTTTTAGGAATAGGGACTTTAGTCAAGAGTATGTCGAAACTAACCAGAAGATCTTGGGTATCTAATGTAATGCCTTTAATTGTTCAATGAAGTGAAAGGAATTAAATACGGATGTATTAGTT